ACATTACAGGCGACCTTGATACACCAATTTCAATATTTGATAACCTAGTTTACTATACATGGGCTTTCTACGTTAAATATTTGACAATCAAATATTTCGTCATGTGTACAGTTCCTCGTCAGTCAACAGAGGATAGTGATGATACACAGCTGTCTGATTAATCACTCTTTTATCCCAGTTTTCTTAAAGTATATTTGGGTAGTCAAGTGGTTAAAGTGTTCACTTGTCCTGCCAAAGACCCAGGATTGATTCCTCATAGGGGCATCAGGGTTTTACCTTGTCTTACAACAGTGGGGGTCCAGGGGACCTCCAATATTTAATTTTAAGGGTCCTTGCAGGTAAATGAGGCGCCTGTACAGTGATGATACGCTGTAGTGTACTGTATGTGTAGGAGAAACCATGTCTTCGAGGGATTACTAGAGATTGTAAACCCTCACATGAGGGACGTTCCCGAATGTGAGGGTTTACAATCTCGAGTTGTTTGTTTTTGGGTTTTTTGTTTAACGCTGCACTCAGCAATATTCCAGCTATATGATGGCCGTCTGTAAATAATCGAGTCTGGACCAGACAATCCAGTGATTGACAGCATGAACATCGATCCACGCAATTGGGAGCGATGACATGTATCAACCAAGTCAGCGAGCCTGACCACCCGATCCCGTTAGTCGCCTTTTACAGCAAGCATAGTCGCCTTTTACGGCAAGTATGGATTACAATCTCTAGTAATCTCGTGGAGACATGGTTTGTCCAACTTATAAACCGACTCATCGCATAGACAACGTTCTTAATTAAATAACCGTAATAAAATCTCTCAAATGTATAACCTGTATCGGAGATGAAATATCGCCTGCAGTCATGAACTCGGTTCAATGAAACCGGTGACCTCAGCACGTGTTTCGCAACGGTGCGAAATCTGCACGTGCGTCTCGCAATGGCACGAAATCTGCACGTGCATCTCGTAGGCTCTTCCTAGTTTTTGTTCTATCAAGGGTTTACAATGATTGTAAGCCCTACTGCGAGGTGTTACAATCGTTGTAATACCTCCTACGAGGTGTTTCCACAATTTCAAAATCTCCATATCGGGTTACACAAACAGCCAGAAGGTTTATAAGTTTTGAGAATTACTTTAGAGCCTGGAATGAATCAGTGATCATGTGGACAGTGGTCATGATTGAGGGATGATATGACAACAAACATAACTGCTCTTGATGCGCTGTAGGTACATTGAATATTATTCTGCGTCTCTCGGGATGGAGTATATTCTTTTTCTGCATCCAGTTTCAACATAATGTGTGATGTGGGCGGTCCATTCTTGTGTCCTTATCCAAATTATGAAATTGACAAATGATCATATTTGAAAATGTATTGCATTGCCTGCTAGAGAGCTGATTTCAAACTTCAACTCAAGAAGTGATGAAATATGTACATTACATCTATGTATTATTTATATCCATAGTTGATGAAGATTCATTTTTGTCACTTGACATTTACATGAATGTTTTAACAAATATATAGTGACTCACTATATATATATATATTTAGTAAGTATAAAACTGATTCCATTATTCTTATAGAAAATAGTAATTCTTAAGCTGATGAAATATTTCTATTATTTTGAAAATGCTTTTTTTTCCTGCACCATTCTATAAATAGGACTTTTGTTGTTTGAAGTTTCATATAAATTGAGCATTCAATCAATTCAAAAAGGCCTTCAAATATCATCCATAAAATCAATTTGTATTGACATTTAAGAAACATGCCAATGTTAGTTATTTACTTTTATTTCATCAAAAGAATTCAAAATGACAACATATAGCGTATCAACCTTTACCATATCATTAATAGGGCCTACAATAATATTTTATTTGTCTTTATACACCAAGACATATCTGTTCATATCTAGATCTAGGGCGGTCGGGTAATCTTGTTGTTAAAGCGTTCACTCGTCATGCCGAAGACCTGGGTTCGATTCCCTACATGGGTACAATGTGTTAAGCCCATTTCTGGTGTCCCCCACCATGATATTGTTGGAATATTGCTAAAAGCGGCATAAAACCATACTTACTCACTCACTCACTCAATCACTCATATCTAGATCTAAATTTTAATCTTATCTTATTGTAACTTACTAAAACAAAAGCAAACAAGTGAATTATAAGATGGATAATGTCACTTGACATTTACATGAATGTTTTAACAAATATATAGTGACTCACTATATATATATATATTTAGTAAGTATAAAACTGATTCCATTATTCTTATAGAAAATAGTAATTCTTAAGCTGATGAAATATTTCTATTATTTTGAAAATGCTTTTTTTTCCTGCACCATTCTATAAATAGGACTTTTGTTGTTTGAAGTTTCATATAAATTGAGCATTCAATCAATTCAAAAAGGCCTTCAAATATCATCCATAAAATCAATTTGTATTGACATTTAAGAAACATGCCAATGTTAGTTATTTACTTTTATTTCATCAAAAGAATTCAAAATGACAACATATAGCGTATCAACCTTTACCATATCATTAATAGGGCCTACAATAATATTTTATTTGTCTTTATACACCAAGACATATCTGTTCATATCTAGATCTAGGGCGGTCGGGTAATCTTGTTGTTAAAGCGTTCACTCGTCATGCCGAAGACCTGGGTTCGATTCCCTACATGGGTACAATGTGTTAAGCCCATTTCTGGTGTCCCCCACCATGATATTGTTGGAATATTGCTAAAAGCGGCATAAAACCATACTTACTCACTCACTCACTCAATCACTCATATCTAGATCTAAATTTTAATCTTATCTTATTGTAACTTACTAAAACAAAAGCAAACAAGTGAATTATAAGATGGATAATGTTATTAGATATATCTTCAAAACGTTCGAAATAAAAAGATTATGAACGTATATCATAGGTCTACTTGCATTTTCAAACTTTGGCAATCAAAATCTGCTAATCTCAGTCGAAAGGTTTAAACTGTTACACTTTTACGCTTCTCATTCTTTTCTAACATCTGTTCAGGAAAATATTTAGGTAAGAACAGAAGATCCCGGTCGGAAATACCTTTAACCAGCTGGGCCACCACAGGATATTTGACAACTCGTGCCACACAATGTGCTGGGGTTTTGTTATACAAAGGGGCGTCACTCTTCATGACCTTTGACTTTCTTTATTATTCAATGTTACTTAATGCTCTGTGTGTATAAGTTCGAACCGGATCTACGAAAAATACGATCCATTGTATTTTTGCAACTTTGGTTACTGTTATCTTTTTCTGACTTTCAAGTGCTCTTGTTGTTCACATTCTTTTAACAAAGGGTACATCCGAATCGAAAAGTAAAAGATATAAGTGTTTCGTATTTTCTGTTTCAGTGTTGCCTACAAAACACATCCTGAACCAGGGAATATTTTCGAAATGTATCATTATTTTGATGAAGTGTGCAGGAGGACATATTATGAATTTAATAATTAAGCTACGCATTCAAATGTCTTGATATCCGCAAAACTCTCACGCTGCGTTTTTTGTGGGTCTTTCTCTCGAAACGCTGTAAGCAATAAAAAAGCTTCCATATTGACTGTTTATGTCTCATCAAAAACTAATGGCTTCTAAAAAGAGGGCTAAAAGCAATTTGAAGCATGTAGGTAGGTATGAATCACGCCGAGCTTTCATTTATGTAAACTCCGTACAAAAAACAGAATCTGCTGTCAAAAAACGAGGGGCAAAGGGCGTGCTTCCTTTTCATTTGATGTTTTTTGGACTCTGCTTTTAGTTGAGATTTCTTACGATTATGGAAATATTTTTGTCGCTTTTATTTTCATCACAGTTAAAAAACCCACCCAATTCTAAACGTAACATCAGCATCTAAACAGTCATGACGTCAAGACTCTATTGATTAAGCGTTCTGATCACGGTTTTAAGACTAATCATGGCTGAATCCTGGGGTAATTGAGGAGCTTGCTTCGAACATATTGCACCACCCTTATCGGGAGCCCCATCGGACAAAAAGAGCGCAGCGAAACTGACGCCAAGACAGACCTTTGGGGATGCGAAAAGCTAATCGTCAGATTTCAAAACATTGTGAGAAAAACCGTTTGCTAGCTTGGAAACAGGTCTTGAAAGTAGAAATAATATACCGACATAGGTCTCGAATCCTGCTGGCCCTGTTGTGGTCAATGCCCCGTGGGGAAGTGTTTTTGGCGTTAGTTTTATTAATGGTCCATCAAGGCTGCATGTCCCCTGCTGAATACGTATAGGATTAACCCAACTTGCCGTTACGGGAGTACCGGTTTCTCAACTTGTGCACTTAAGGAAGAGGTTGTTGTTAGTCGTTTCTCCCCCGTTGGGAATCTGGTTGAAAAGCCAAAAGGTCACCCAATTTCTGTCGAAAGAACCGATTGAAATAAGGATCGGATGGTCACAATGTGTGGCCTGCCTGATGACGCGTCATCGCACACCATTGACGTGAATCTGTGCTCATGATATCGACCTGCTAACCTGATAACTCACCTGCTCTAGAATTGATTACCACAACATATATGAAGCAGAGTGCTAAGTCGGTTGTTCCCCTGATCAAATTAGGATAGGGACAATGATGATGATGATGATGATGATGATGATGGTGGTGGTGGTGGTAATAATAACAGCAGAATGTACACAAATACGTACTTTAGTAATTAGTAACTCCAAAATAATGCGTGATTTTAGAGCTAATTAAGACACTGCTAAGAAATGTATGTAATATATTGTAAATATTTCTTGATATACATGAAAAAATATATCGCTTGTGTCGAAAGTTTGGCTTTACTATTGAAATGTGCCAAAACACAAATAGTTTGCCAAAGCAGGTCCCGTTTTACAAAGTGATCTCAGTGTCAGGACTGCTGAAAGTCTACGGGAGTAGCGTTAGTAACGCTGTGATAACGTTTTGAAACGAGGCTCAGGGCCTCTATAACGGTTGGCTACGCAGGATGCTAATGTGTCGCTTCTATTTCCAGATACGCTCAAGAACCTGAATGACAGCTCGCTTACGGTGGATTCAAAACCAGGAACACATTAGGTAAGACTTAGACATCTTGTTTACTTGGATGCTCATCAAGGAAAACGACATGGATGTTTTGGTTGACGGAATTTGTCCCAGCGGGTCAGACATTACATGTTAAGCCTTTTTCTGTGGCCTGTATGTTATGTACAATTTCGATAAAGAAATGTTTCACCGCCAAGCTCAGTGTTCAGAGATTTGTTTACGACACCTACGTAAGTGTGTTTACGGTAACGCTAAACACACCTTCCTCGTTCTCTTTCCCGCGCCTCCGATGGTGAACTCTGATGAATGTTTAAGAACCTGCCAATCACATTTTACTGGTCAACATCGAGATTTTAGAGAGTGGATGCAAAACCAGTTGTATTCTAATCCTTTGTCCTCGTATTACTATTTTACCACTGATGCAACAGTTTCGGGAATAGTTGCTCCCCTTGGTCATGCCAGTATCCACTGATGCCAGTATCAAAACCCTTATGACACCTGGTTATGATCCTTGGTCGTGCTTAACAAAGTGACACGTTCACGACCTGCATCACAACCTCTTACAGTTAGCTGGCACACTGTGAACTAACTGAAAGTTGTGTTATATCTAGTTCACTCACTCACTCAGGAATATGAATCAAGAATCAAGAATTTTTATTGTACTGAACACCCTCGTAGGGCAGGGTACAGACTATCTACATATGAACATGTATATAATTATAGATATGAAAGGTATATGTATATGATGTACATTATGCATAGAGGCATTACATGTTATTTCATTTACATCATATAAACATTTATGTATATTAGGATATTGAACATGTGGTATATAGTCCGGGCAACAAGACTTGACCATTCTTTTGGTGGGTTCATAAAGTGTTTTAAGAGGTTGGTTTTATCGGTCTGGGAAGGGTCGCCTATTTCTATCAGTGGGATGAGATTACTCCTAAGGTCTGTATATAGTGGGCATGAGAGCAGGAAGTGTTCCTCATCCTCCACGGAATGTGTGGGCGTTTTTGGAACATGTACCTTGTGTCACTGCATGGGTAACCTTAGAGGTAAGTCAGGTCAGACGCGTTTGGATATAATAATAACGCAGCCCAGCAAGCTCTCAAACAATCCTTCAAAGAGTCCAAACATCAAGATGATTCCGGCAGACCGTTTGGACTTGGACTAATCCCTGCACATGGGTCACCGAACAATTGATCATGCACATATGGTTTCTGTTTGTAAGGACCTTACTGTGTTAGAACTGAACCGAAAAATAACGATCATGTCGTACAGGAGAACCCTTTTCAGGTGCAACAACTGGGCGAAACATATGGTCGACTCTTTGCCAAGTCCTGTCTATTTGAAAAGTCACGTTAATGTCTCCCAAGTGCAGTGAGCAGTTGTTTGACAAAAGTACGCGCATGTTACACAAACAGCTTGTCTACACAGAGGATCCGTATTTGGTCGAAAACAGAAAGGGAATAACACTAATAAGAGCTAAACGCGTTCCTCTGAACTCTTCGTGTTCATGATTATGTAATGGATACGTTCCCGGGGATTTTTAAGTGTCTACGAATAGCTGATTTTTTGAGTTGAGTTGGAAAAATACGTTGGGATTATCCCGAAATGCCATTTGAGCACAGCATGACACAGTGGAACGCTGGATTGGACGTGTTGGACAGCTTCAAGTGATTGTACTTTAGGTCTTCGGCTAGAGGGCTTTACCCTTCATGCAGCAAGTCGCAGTAAACATGTATATAAAACCCATGGTAAATCCGGCCTTAGTCAGCCTACATCTCTTCCAAGAGTGAAGTTACCATGGAAGATCTAACGAAGATAATTTTCGCATTAGTATTTTATACCGAAACTTGGAGCGAAATCGAGTTGGGTTACAGAGCTAATTGTGCTGTCCTCAAGACTCAAAGTCTGTGGCATACGACGGGAGACGGAACCAAATTAGGCTATGATTGCCGTAAATCACACCAAGGGGGTCTCATAATTGGACCCGTCCGTCCCCTACCGACTTTCAACTCCTCGGAGATGACGTCTTCATAAAACTAGGCAGATTTACTGCAAGCGTTTGTATGATAGACGAGGATTGGGGATGAGGCCAGTTCTCCACTGTCACGCCGCTCTGACCCGCTAATTGGCCGGAAGTTGCGCCATGCTGGTTATGGCGCGATTTCGCGTCAAACATGGCGATGTCAGTTTTGACAGACGCAAGTGGCGGCATCTGGCGTGGATTCCTGACATTATCCACGTGTTACTTGTGAAGCAGGTTATAGCAAATTTGGTATGGGTTCTGTGATAGATTGCCTCATAACTTGTCAATGCCAAAGAGCGAACAACATCCCTCTCTTGTTTACTCGCGTCTTCCGCTAACGGCGGCAGTGGTTTTGACAAACTGATCCGTTTTAATTTTGCCATGTATGAACTTCTGTCTGTCAATTAATTCGCCACTCTGATTATAAACGAACTATTGGAAAGTTATAAATCATTTATCTATAGGCATATCCTTCCTGTTGAAAATCTATTTTGAAATTCATTAATTTAATTTCCGTCTCTTTTTTTCATTTTATTGTCGATTTACATTACTCTTTTTCACAATAACGGATGTACATATAGTTCTTGTGTCTCCAATGAAGGTATCAACTTTTCTATTTATGTCATAAGGATGCTTGTATGATATATGATATTCTTGTATCAATTTATCAAATATGAAATGACTATTTGTCGTATGCACAAAACATCGTGTATTATTGAAGCAGTAAAAATGAAATAAAATGCAATATTTTTACCAGATCACAACAGCTTTTTTGTCACCGCTGTTATATCACGGTGTGTTAGCTTAATGTGGGAGGAAGTAAAGAACGAAGGAATGCATGTCTCCAAGTTTACCGCTTTGGTGAAACCTATTCGAGCATTGTGCTGACAAAACCTGAAACATAATCGGGGCGAATTCTGTAATAAGACACGAAGTAAAGTATTGTATTTAGAGGTGACGTAGGAAGAGGTTGGTATGTAATTAAAAACATATTATTTTGATTTATTGTCAATCGGAAATGTAAAAGTGCGTTGTAAATCCTACTGCGATCCCACGATCCTTCGCCCCCAGTAGTGACAATATAGAAAATTGATATGAAACCATGAAGGGATGAAGGGATAAGGTAACCACAGGTACAGATGCGTGATCCCATTAAGCACCGACCCAGCCCTGCTACGAGCGGTGACCCCATGTAGGAAGGTCATAGATTACATGTACATCAAGCTGAAGCACCTGTCACGAGCGTACCTGTCTTGCTAATACACGGTGACAAGTGTAATCAAGCTCAACCAGACGCCACCCCGGCCTTGTCAGACCATCCCGACTGGACAATTAGCCAGTGGTCACTCTGAATCTCGTGGCACGTGCTATCGTGACGTCGATTAGCTCGTGCAAGCAGTGACCAGAGGCGCCACCTGTTGGCAATTCAGGTCTAAACTCAGAGGTGACGTAAACTAATGACAAATGATGGCCTCACGCAATGAGACAAGCTTCTACCCTCGCTGTAAACAAATGGCCCAGCAAGGGTAATTAGCTGGTCCGGCATTTGCCGCAACGATTACCATTTGTCATAGACTGACGGGTACTTTATTGAGATAATTAATATAACTGCTTGGATGGATAAATTTGGTTTAGAATTGATTTAAATACGAGTGTAATTCACTGGTTTTTGAAAAATAATACATTTCGGAACCTGATGATTTTCTGAGTAAATTACTTTTTAGAGTTATGGCTGAGTGAAATGGATGATTAAATTCTTCTTCGTGTTTATTTTAATTGTCAGATTTGGAAACAATCCTATTATTTCAACATGCAATCATTCGTCAACGGAGACGCGCGTTTCATTTCGAGATTTTAAAAAATCCCGCTGTTATCACAATAATCGCATTGATTCTTTCTTGTTTTGAGTAAATTAGTAATAACTGCGTGGAGGGTTGAACATGACTAAGAAGAAAGTCCATATATATATTATTTTTTTCGGAATTTGGTTGAATGGGGACAAGATCAGCGCTAAGCGCTAGTACGGTTAATTCAAAACGTCAACATGAGCATTGGTTTGTCTGGTGCTACAAAGTATCTGATGGAGATGAAGGCACCAGGTAATAGTAGCCCCAGTCACACAGACAGTGCCACAAATGACACTTGGTACAGAATCTAGACACACATTACCAGTCTATGGAGTATGGTCCGCCATTAAGAATTAATTAAAGTAATTAAGAATTAATTAAAGTATCATCTATTTTTACCTACATTTACATTCAATATTAACATCGAAACGAAATTTTCATTCCAACTTTAGGATCATTTATTTTGTTATGTAAACTTACTAAAGTTGATTGGTGGCGGGGTAGCCTGGTGGTTAAAGCGTTCGCTCGCCACGCCGAAGACCCGGGTTCGATCCCCTACTGGATACAATGTGTGAAACCCATTTCCGGTGTCCCCGCCGTGAGATAACTAGAATATTGCTAAAAGCGGCGTACAACTATGCTCACTCTCTATCACACTAACCCTGATTCCTGGCCATCAATCCGTCTGTGTTCACTTTATCAGGATGCCTTCATATTAAATAGTTCCTTTATAGGTGTAGTTGCGTCCCTTGGCTTGGGCACCCCACAAAACTATGATCGTGGATACGAAGCCATCCTGGTTCGTCCCGATTGTTTCTAGGGTTGTGCTCGTGCGTTTCACCAAAGACTTCGTGGTAAACGTCTAAGACCTGCATTGTTTGTTTGTTTGTTGTTTAACGCCGCTCTCAGCAATATTCCAGCTATATGACAGCCTTCTGTAAATAAACGAGTCTGGACCATACAATCCAGTGACTGACATCATGAGCATCGATCTGCGCAAATGGGATACGATGGCATGCATGAACCAAGTCAGAGCCTGACCACCCGATCCCGTTAGTCGCCTCTTACAGCAAGCATGGGATGCTGAAGACCTATTCTACCCCGCATCTTCACGGGTCACTTAGACTTGCATTATATCGGGCTTTCCT